GCGAAGGGCACTGAAGTAAGCGACCTTAAGATTAGACTATTTGAAGTAAGGACTACTGATACTAATGAAGGTCGAGGTACAGGGGTATTGCTGAACACCTCATCTAGGGCGTGTAATGATTAATGCACTACTGAATGCGTCTCTATTGATTAATGCATTATTGCACTACTAATGAATACTTCTGAAATCAAGTGCTATATAGACAAGCCTGATTCACTCTCCACAGAGGCAGTTACGAGACATGCACAGTTGGTGAGAATGTGCAGACCAGTTTAAGTATGCAGATAAAGAATTACGTTAAGGCTTTGCGTTATGCGTGGGTTCAGGCTTAGGTTTAGATACAGCAAATGACGGAATTTTGAACAAAATAGCAGTGAATTCGCAAATTTTATTCCCTGCTGCCAAATTCCTTAAGTTTGTTTTGTTTCTTAGACTAGTACAGTGTTTTGAAACGACACAAGGATGTGGCAGCTCTTCAGACACGACTGTATGATGCCGTTGCCTCAAATGCTCGCTGCCTCAAAAGTTTCCCTTATGACTTATAAGGCGCCTGCTGATGATGCTAGCTAACTTCTGCGAGTATGATGTAGTGGCCCGAAAAATATCCTCGCCGACACCGAAAATTCTCTTAACTATATAGCGAACCATAAAGGAACCCGCAGCTAACTTAGATCTTCCGGTGTAAGACTGAAGCTTTCACGTGTTACATCGGCCATTGCAAAATCAAGCAGGACAGACGAGTTTGTCTCTTCGAAAGGAATATTCTTACCAGCAGATAACACGGAATAGAGTTAACTTGTTGAGGTGAAAGAAGCAGCCTTAATATTTGGAGTTGTATGCGTTATCATGTTGTTTAAATTATTGGTTATTGGTGATACACTTGTATGTTTATTTGAACATTTAAATAATTAGCTACTGCATTATATAAGCTGACTGTGAAAACGAAACGTTGACTTCGGTACATGCCTTATGACTGTACGTGGTTGAACTGCAATAGTTTGCATATACTGTGATTTATTAAGCAAACTAGAAACGTATTCACGTCGTGCATTTGTCACTGCGCGCCTTTCACCATTGGTCTACTAACTGACGCGTCGCGTTTGCTGATCTGATGCATGTTGTGACGTTTCACACGTTCACTTTCAGGACCTTGACCTCTGCTGAATTTCTGAAAAAGTCACAGAACGAGCCATGTTTACAGTACAAACGTGGCAGCGAGGAGCTAAAGTTACTGAACGAAGCTATCGACCGTCTTTGGGGCACGGTGACCAGGATTCCAGTGGTCATCGGTGACGAAGAGTTCGACACTGGAAAACATTTCGACCAGCTAGTTGTGAGTAGTTAATGCTTTTTAACCATTTTATGGCTGTCGGGCATGTGAAAATTTTTTGAAAATTTTAAAGTTTATGTGTCTGGACCGCGGCTGTGTTCTTGAGAAACATTTCTATCTACCCGCTTGTAATTTGTTCTGTAGGACGAGATCTCTCGATATAGATGTTATCATGTGTAATTAGTGTATGAGCAGGTCAGCGAAAGAAGTTGTTTCAGATATTCAAGGATAATATGTTGACTGTTCTGAAAGGTACGCCTTCTGAAATATATGTAAATTATCGTCTTTTGTAATGTGTACACGGAAATCGAATTTGAAGGTCAAATTAATGTTTGACACGACCGAAAACGGGGTAGCAATAATTGTCAGGTCTGACTGCTGTGATCCGGCCTCCTCCACTACAGAACCAGATGTGTTTCTCTTATCACTACTGTGAACCTTTTACAGTTCACTGTATTTCGAATGCCCATTTTAATTAGCGGATATCACTACTGCCAGGTCGATGGTGAATATCACCCAAGTTCGTCTTTTTCTTTGCTGTGACAAGCCTCCACATTTCTCTCTTGGTTCAGTGCTCCATCTGAATTAAAGTCTTCAGATTGGGCGCTTCAAGTCCCTTGAGTATTATCCCATCACTGGTAAAGTCTCTCCGTTATCTGTCAGTCTTGCGATGTTGTCTTACTCTAGCTGCTCGCAGGAGACTGGAAGCAATTTTCTGCTACCCCGACCGAATGGGGTTCCAGATGGCGGCTGTGCGAAGACGGGCCGCTCAGATTATTCGTTGAACTGAACCTTCGGTTTCGGGAGGTTTCTCCTCCGCATCCAGGAGCGGTGCCTCATTTTGCAAATGAGTCTTCACAACACTGATCATTATTGACATAGTCGTCGTTATTATTTGACAAGTACTGATTTTCTTCAGGCTCAGCAGTAATTTTTCTTCAGCTTTAGAAATCCTGCGTTTGTTTTTTCTTTAATCTGTTTATTACGCCTATCTGGTGCTTTGCTCATCTGACCTGACCCAGTCAGACTTACGACCGACTGTTCGTTTTCATTTTCATATGACGTTGACCCGTTTAGTTCTACGGCATTTTTTAAACGTTATGACATGAGTTTCCCAGATACTCATTTACAACTGCTCTTCGGTAGTTACTTTCGGCAGTTTTTCATCCATTGTTGTAGCAACTACTCTGGCCTTGCTGTTGATATGAGGCTATCTTACGCAAGGTTCAAGTTATTGATTTAACTCTGTGTTTCTTTATTCGCTGATTTTGCAAACTCCCGTAGAAGCTGACGAAGGCCTGTGAGGTTTAGAGGTACCATTTTTTGTATCTTTATGCATGTTGTTCCTATGGTTCATGCCTCTGTTTAAACTTTCGTTTGGTTTTAGCCGTTTGACCATCAGCACAAGTTGGCATCCTACATTCATGCTGACAAAGTAAGTTGTCATATTTTATTTTCCGTTTTCTGTTTCTTTTTTAATTTTGATGTCTGACATGTATTCGTCTACGATGTGGTCGGTCTCTTCACGACTTCTGACCTCCTGCAGTTACGCACACGGAGCATTTTATCTTACTTTACAGCTATCTTACTGCTATTTACTTCTTGTGGTTCTCACGTTTTGTACTACTTGCCTGTGTTTCTTCACGTCATTTAGTTTGTCGCGGCCTTATGAGAATTTTTACACTCTTTGTTGACCTTTTCAGTGTAATATGGATTCCAGAATTGACCCAGGTAGTATCAGTTTAAGGTGATTGGATCGCAGAAAACAAAGAAAGCTAGTCTGCCACAGCGTTATGGCGTTCCCTTCGTTGCTGGCAACGGATATCCGTTCAGCGCTAAAAGGTCTGGCTGATCTGTAGTTGAATGTGGAGGATGGAGTCGACATGTCCCCATAACCTTGTGTAGTTTTGGTACATCACCAAACCTTGTTCACGTCTGTTCGCCCCCCCCCTAATTGTCATCAGATCATTCTGTGCTAAAACAAATAAACTTGGTCGATTGAAATGAGTTTCTATAACATTTTTAGTGGTACTGTCTGAAAAAAGCCTCAGCACTTATATATTACGGTTACGGTTACCGCTGCAAATTGTAGAGATATGGACAAAAAATTAAACCAGTTAATATCAAAAAATGCGATATTGATATTTTTTGTATTCCGTCAAATTTTGTACTGCTCTGACTAAATGGTGCAGCACCGAATGACGAAAAACGTTTAATACGAAAACCTCAAATTTCAAACCTTCATTTACGTATTCTAGAATTTAAAGTTTTATAAATGGTCATTTCATTGTCTTCTATCATATATTTTACATGATTTTGTTTCTGTGAGCGATTGAAAAAATGGTTGTACACTTTCGCTGATAAAATCTAATAGAAGTAATTATGTTCAGTTGGAAAAGACAGACAGGCTATTAATCATGTCACATAAAGAAAGGTAATGTTAGAAGCCTGGAAAATGTGTCTCTTAAATGAGGCTATTGGACCCCAATATTCTATGGTCGGTACATATTAATACTGTACAGAGTAGATTTCGATAACTTCTCTTACATGATTAATTTATGCTGAAGAATGAGCACCGCTGTAGATACCGACAGTATCAATTAGTCAGTACATTTTTCCAGGCCTTTTCTAACCGTCTGTTTTTTTTACCAAGGGTAAGTCTAACTATGCATGTTATCTTATTCTTTTGTATACGTAGCATGCCGCTGAGCGGGTTTGCTGCAGTTAAGGATGCACCCCATCCGCTTGAAGTTTGGTCTACATACAAGAATTTCGCGAACCGCTGAACAATTGTACCAGTTTATTGCCCATTAGGAGTTACAAGCAGTAAAACCACACACGTCTTCAATGACGGACGGCTCTTACTAAGATGTTCTCCTAACGCTAGAGTCGATCCGCGTTCAC